AACTGGAAGACAAGCCCGAAATTACTTAATGAACTCATTAGTCCAACACTAATGCAAACAAAATAAAAGGGCACAAAAGGAAACGATAATCAAGCAGTTCGACAGAACTAAACTGATATCAAAAGGAACTAAGATGCACTGAAGTCGAAACCAACAGTATAACATAAAAGTTGAACGTACTACGTTGACTGAACAACACTTGAAACTAAACTGAACAATAAAAATCGAACCCACTACATAATCAAACATCAGGAAACCATGACACAAATAGGGTTAACTCACTTCAGGTGGCTTATGAAAAGAATGCTCGAAACACAGGACAAATCAGGTAACTCAAACTGAGATAATTGATGACAATAAAATTGAATCAAGAGACACTAAAGTCTAACTCAATACATCACAAAGCACAAAGCAAGAAGCTCAAATAAGTAACAGAACTAAATTGCACAAAATACAAGTAAGATGAAACTAACATCAACAAAATACAATACAATATTAACCTAAACTCAGAAGGCCAAATGCAAAATACAAATAGAAAACTCCAGCCCCACGTTGGGCGCCAAAATGTAGCCTCATTTTATTTACTAACTAACTAAATTAAAGATGTTTAAACTGGTGGCACCGGCTACGGCCATGTTGGAGAGTGGGTGAGGGTGAACTCATTGACTTATAAATCTCACTAAAGATTGGGCGCCAGGTACTGAGTACCGTCAAAGGAAATAGGCTACTGGATATCTTAACACCAGATAAACAATTAAAAATAAGCAAACTTTAATAAGTCAAACACGTTCAAAGAACCAATCAAAAGACAGACAGAAGCTCAAACGGTGAATCCAATAATCAGATATCAATGCAAATCTCATTAGAATAAACAGCGCTATATCAATCCATATCCAAACGTAAACTCAACTGACATTCTCTTAAACTAGGCACTTAAGTAGAGGGTAAAAACCCAAACAAATCACATTTAGCTCAAATAAGAACTCTACTCTCAAGGCTCAACTCAAATCTCAACTCAAAGTAGTCCGAATCAGGACCTAAAATCACAGATATGTTTTGCTACACGCAAATCTTCAGAACGCTTAAAATTAATAACTTAAAAACTAACTTCAGGCAGAAGTGTATAGCCTTAGTGGAGGCCAAGACCGAAGTCTGAATTAAAAGACCCTGAATTGAAAGAAACAAAACTTATATGAGACACATGTTCACCATGGGCAACATAACCTTGACGGTTGACACAATAGATGGGGGTAACTATCAAGTCCAAGCACGACACTCACCGAGGATAAAGCGTAAAGACGACAAGTTGGTATAACAATAAGAAGAACACTCGGGTCAGAGAACAGCGGGTGTAGGGTTAAATACTAACCCAACCAGGCGGCCGAAGCCCGCACTGGGGATAATCTCACAAGAACTACATCCCGACTGATCCAGAACCAAGCAGAACGACCAACTAAATATCCAACGGGAGGCGGCTGGCTATGAGAAAGTTAGATGGACTCAACAAGAGTAATATGGGAAATTAGCTAGCCAGGTAGAGAGCGGGAGATTTGAAAAGGACAAGTAACGCAGAACAAAGTGATCGTTACATTGTCACCTTATTTAGTGTGACATTCCCTGCATTTGCCTGCCGGAGGCCTGCCGGAGCCCTCTCGCCGCCCTCCCCTGTCTTCCGACCGCAGCGCCAAGCCACGCCTCGCCGCCAGCCTTTCACCTTGACACCTCGGCTAGTGTGTGTCGCGCCAAGGAGCCGCGTGTGGCGTTGCCATGTGTGTGTGGAGTGTGGAGTGTGGATGTGAGAGGCAGCCAGTCTCTTTGCTCGGGTGGCGGCCTTCCTGACGGAGCAACACCTTACCGCACATACCCACCACATCTTACGGAGTATATTTTCGTTTTAAATTGCGCGTTTGCTCAGAAGCCAAGTCTGCGCGGACACATAAGTCGATAATTCAGGACGTACACTCTAATAAACGCCGTGGTCGCCTAGCTTGCCAATATTTTTGTAATCATTTTTGATTGCAAATTATTGCAGTTATTTTTGTACGTTATTTGCCAAAAATTGAATACCTTTTTAAGAGCAGACCAAAATGTCAAATTTTGGCAATAAAACAGAGGAGTGCCATAATTTTGGCAAATTGAACGACCACGACGTTTAGAGTGTAACACTACTTCCCTAGGACTGGTGAGAACAAATGTGCTTCGACTAAAAAGGTTCTCTATT